CCGGCTCTGGCTCCTGCCACCATGAGGGGTGGACAGTCCTCTACTCGGGGCAGCAGACTGCCAAACAACAGGGTGTGGCTCTTCTTTTGAACAAAAGAATGAAGAGGGCGTGGGAGCGTGGCGGTGAGGTGTGGGAAGCTGTAAGCCCCAGGCTACTTTGGGCTCGCCTTCCCATCAGCCGGAGGCGAGGAATGGTAGTCGTGGTTACTTATGCCCCCACTGAAGATGAACATCCGTGGAGGAATGCAGGCAAAGCCGATGAGTCAGATGCCTTCTATGACCTCCTGTCACAGGTGCTGGCTAAAGTGGCCCCTCGGGATAGAGTCATCATGTTGGGTGACTTCAATTCCCGAGTTGGTCATGATACTGGCACCTGGTCTGGAGTGATTGGAGGGTATGGGCCAGATCAGCTCAATAACAACGGTAGGAGGCTGCTAGATTTTTGTGCAGCCCATGGGCTTGTAATTACCAACACGCTGTTCCGGCATCGGCGCATCCACACAACATCATGGATGCATGCCGGGTCCAAGCAAGAACATCTGCTGGACTACATAGTGATGGAACAGCGGATTCAGGTCCATGTCCTTGACACCAGGACCTACCGTGGAGCTGATCTGCCCTCTGACCATCGACTTATCATCTGTAAGATGCGCCTGCCATTCTTCCACTCCGGTGGTGGGTGTACACCCAGGACCCCATTCCGACCTAAAGTGGGCTGGTCTCAGTTATCTGATGAAAGTTGCAAGCGAGAATTTCATCATCGCTTGCGGCTGGGATTGGCATCGTCCCCGACTCCTCCTGATGTCGAGGGTAAATGGGCGAAGTTTAAGACTGTGACTCATGCAGCTGCAATGGCTGCTTTGGGTACGCGGTCCAGACCTCCCCAGAGACCCTGGCTGACAGAGGAGGTGTTCAGGATGGTTGAGAAAAAGCGACAGGCCCACTGTCATTGGCTACAGAATCCCACATCAGAGAAAGAGGAGGCTTACCGCAGCCTTCGCTCGGAGGTTCGGAGAGCCGTGAGGCGCTGCAAGGATGGGTGGTGGTCGCGGGTTTGCTGAGGAGATGGAGTCTGCCTTAGTGGCCCGTGATCACAAATCTGTATTTAACTCCATCAAAAAAGTAACCTGCAGCGCCACACCTATTACCATCATTAGGGGAAAAAACGGTGATCCAATCTCCGACCCCCAGGAACAGGTTTGCAGATTTGCTGAGCATTTCTGTGAGGTCCTGGGGGAGGGAAAATCCCTCAGCCAGGAAAACATCGTGGCACAAAGTGAGGATGACCCTGCTGAGGCTGCGGTGCCTCAAATATTGGAAGAAGTCACCCCCTGTGAGTGGCTGGCTGAGGTGCCATCTGCTGAGAAAGTACTGAAGGCGATCCGGAGTCTGAGACCAGGAAAGGCAGCGGGCAGAGATGGTCTCCCAAGCGAAATGCTGAGGGAGGGTGGCGTTTGTGCACAGACTGCCCTATATGACATCATAACAACAGTCTGGACCACTGGACAGGTTCCGCAGGATTGGAAAGATGCCCTGGTGGTCCCCCTTTATAAGAAGGGGGACCGCACAGACTGTAACAACTACAGGGGCATCTCACTCCTCAGTGTGCCGGGAAAGGTCCTGGCAAGGATTATTCAGCATCGCCTTGCCAGGCACGCTGATGAGAGGCTTGCGGAGCCCCAATGCGGTTTCAGGAAAGGGCGGTCCTGCACAGATGCCATATTTTCTGTCCGTCTGCTACAGCAGAGGTGTAGGGAATTCCAACAAGACCTACATCTCTGCTTTATTGACCTGGTCAAGGCCTATGATATCATCAGTAGGCCTGGGCTCTGGGTCGTTCTTCATGCTTTTGGAGTACCTGACCCTCTGCTCACGATCATTAAGGACCTTCATGATGGTGAGTGGGCCCGGGTAAAACTACGTGGCCGGGAGTCAGAGCCATTTCCTGTACACCTTGGGGTGCGACAGGGATGTCCTCTGGCTCCCACATTATTTAACATCTATTTTGACCACGTAGTTCATGAAGCCTTCAATAGCTTTACCGGGGCAATCTCCATATGGTACAGATATAATGGGAGGCTAATCGATGGCCGGGTGCGGTCAAGGGATGGCTCCCTATTGCTCTACCACGTTATGTATGCCGATGATTTGGTAATAGCTGCTCATTCAGAGGAGGAGTTGGAGACGCTGCTGCTGATACTGGAGTGTGCCACTAAGAGATGGGGCCTTACCATCAGCCCCACCAAAACTAAGCACCTGCCTGGGTATTTTGTACCATCAGACACTCCACCCCCACAACTCCCAATCGGTGATGGGGCAGTGGAGAGAGTGGAGAGTTTCCCATACCTGGGCAGTGTGCTTATGACCGGCTCCAGTTTAACAGCAGAGGTCTCACTCCAAATCAATTGAGCGGCAATATGGATTGTGTGAGGAGCTCACAAATCCTTGAAAGATCTGGGCACGGTCCCATCGGTGAGCTCCTCCGGCAGGCAAGGCTGTGTTGGCTGGGTCATGTAGCCCACATGCCCAGCCACCGCATGCCGAAACAGCTTTTGTTCGGCCGGATTGAGGGGGCGAAGCGGGCGCTGCACGGGCTAGAGAAGAGATGGAGTGATGTGGTACAGGAGGACGTGGAGCTGAGTGGACTTGCCGATGACTGGTACCAGCGGTGTCAAGATCGACCTCTGTGGAGGAGGCTCGTGAAGGACGCTACTGGGCAGTTGGAGGCAGTTGCCCTCCAACAACAACGGAGGGCGGAGGAGCGACGCTCACAACAACGAGTGGAGCGCCGGGTGGCTAAAGCACAGCAGGTTGGCACAGTAGGGGGCACAGGTGGTGCATCAGCCAGTCATCTCAGTCATCTCAGTCAGTCGACCCGTGGCACCTGCTGGGTCTGCCCCGTGACCTCCTGCCAGCGGGCATTCGACACTTCACGTGGCCTCAGGGTGCACATAGCCTGGCACAAGCGTCGTGGTGACGTCACCGCCACTTAGTGGCGAATGGCGGTTGTTGTTGTTGTTGTGTCACTGTGTGTGTCACTGTGTGTGTCACTGTGTGTGTGTGTCACTGTGTGTGTGTCACTGTGTGTGTCACTGTGTGTGTCACTGTGTGTGTGTGTCACTGTGTGTGTGTCACTGTGTGTGTCACTGTGTGTGTCACTCTGTGTCACTGTGTGTGTCACTGTGTGTGTGTCACTGTGTGTGTCACTGTGTGTGTCACTCTGTGTCACTGTGTGTGTCACTGTGTGTGTGTCACTGTGTGTGTCACTGTGTGTGTCACTGTGTGTAACACTGTGTGTGTCACTGTGTGTGTCACTGTGTGTGTGTCACTGTGTGTGTCACTGTGTGTGTCACTCTGTGTCACTATGTGTGTCACTGTGTGTGTGTCACTGTGTGTGTGTCACTGTGTGTGTGTCACTGTGTGTGTGTCACTGTGTGTAACACTGTGTGTGTCACTGTGTGTGTCTCTGTGTGTGTCACTGTGTGTGTGTCACTGTGTCACTGTGTGTGTGTCACTGTGTGTGTGTCACTGTGTGTGTGTCACTGTGTGTGTGTCACTGTGTTTGTCACTGTGTGTGTGTCACTGTGAGTGTGTCACTGTGTGTGTGTCACTGTGTGTGTGTCACTGTGTGTGTGTATCACTGTGTGTGTCACTGTGTGTGTGTCACTGTGTGTGTGTCACTGTGTGTGTCACTGTGTGTGTCACTCTGTGTCACTGTGTGTGTGTCACTGTGTGTGTGTCACTGTGTGTGTCACTGTGTGTGTCACTGTGTGCCACTCTGTGTCACTATGTGTGTCACTGTGTGTGTGTCACTGTGTGTGTGTCACTGTGTGTGTGTCACTGTGTGTGTGTATCACTGTGTGTGTCACTGTGTGTGTGTCACTGTGTGTGTGTCACTGTGTGTGTCACTGTGTGTGTCACTCTGTGTCACTGTGTGTGTCACTGTGTGTGTGTCACTGTGTGTGTGTCACTGTGTGTAACACTGTGTGTGTCACTGTGTGTGTCTCTGTGTGTGTCACTGTGTGTGTGTCACTGTGTCACTGTGTGTGTGTCACTGTGTGTGTGTCACTGTGTGTGTGTCACTGTGTGTGTCACTGTGTGTGTGTCACTGTGAGTGTGTCACTGTGTGTGTGTCACTGTGTGTGTGTCACTGTGTGTGTGTATCACTGTGTGTGTCACTGTGTGTGTGTCACTGTGTGTGTGTCACTGTGTGTGTGTCACTGTGTATGTCACTGTGTGTGTGTCACTGTGTGTGTGTCACTGTGTGTGTGTATCACTGTGTGTGTCACTGTGTGTGTGTCACTGTGTGTGTGTCACTGTGTGTGTGTCACTGTGTGTGTGTCACTGTGTTTGTCACGCACCACGCCAGACCCATAGACTCATGCCTCTTGGTGAACCCCCCCATGTGACCCCCCGTGACCCCTCGTGACCCCTCGTGACCCCCCCCATGTGACCCCTCGTGACCCCCCCATGTGACCCCTCGTGACCCCCCATGTGACCTCCCATGTGACACCCATGTGACCCCCCATGACCCCCCATGTGACCCCTCGTGACCCCCCCATGTGACACCCATGTGACCCCCCCGTCACCCCCCAAGTGACCCCTCGTGACCCCTCGTGACCCCCCCATGTGACCCCTCGTGACCCCCCCATGTGACCCCCCAAGTGACCCCTCGTGACCCCTCGTGACCCCCCATGTGACCTCCCATGTGACCCCCCCCCCCAGACTCGTTGGTGTTTGACAACTCCTACTCGTGGGTGCACTCCAAGAAGCTCAAATTCACTGTCAAGATGCTCCCACCCCTGCCTGCTACAGTCACCCAGTCACCCAGTCAGGCACCCAGTCAGTCAGTGACTCAGTCACCCAGTCAGTCACTCAGTCAGTCAGTCACTCAGTGACTCAGTCACCCAGTCACCCAGTCACTCAGTCAGTGACTCAGTGACTCAGTCAGTCACTCAGTCAGTCAGTCACTCAGTGACTCAGTCACCCAGTCAGTCACTCAGTCAGTCAGTCACTCAGTGACTCAGTCACCCAGTCACCCAGTCACTCAGTCAGTGACTCAGTGACTCAGTCACTCAGCGACTGAGTCACCCAGTCACCCAGTCAGTGACTCAGTCACCCAGTCAGTCAGTCAGTCACCCAGTGACTCAGTTACCCAGTCACTCAGTCACCCAGTCAGTCACCCAGTCAGTCACTCAGTCAGTCACCCAGTCACTCAGTCACCCAGTCAGTCACCCAGTCAGTCACCCAGTCAGTCACCCAGTCACTCAGTCACCCAGTCACCCAGTCAGTCACTCAGTCACTCACTCAGTGACTCAGTCACCCAGTCAGCCAGTCACCCAGTCACTCAGTCAGTCACCCAGTCAGTCACCCAGTCACTCAGTCACCCAGTCACTCAGTCACCCAGTCAGCCACTCCTACTCGTGGGTGCACTCCAAGAAGCTCAAATTCACTGTCAAGATGCTCCCACCCCTGCCTGCTACAGTCACCCAGTCACTCAGTCAGGCACCCAGTCACTCAGTGACTCAGTCACCCAGTCAGTCACTCAGTCAGTCAGTCACTCAGTGACTCAGTCACCCAGTCACCCAGTCAGTCACTCAGTCACTCAGTCAGTCACCCAGTCAGTCAGTCACCCAGTGACTCAGTCACTCAGTCAGTCACCCAGTCAGTCAGTCACCCAGTGACTCAGTCACTCAGTCAGTCACCCAGTCACTCAGCCACCCAGTCACTCAGTCAGTCAGTGACTCAGTCACCCAGTCACTCAGTCAGTCACCAAGTCACCCTGTCAGTCACTGAGTGACTCAGTGACTGGGTGAATCAGTCACTCAGTCACCCAGTCAGTCACCCAGTCAGTCACCCAGTCACTCAGTCACCAAATCAGTCACTCAGTCACCCAGTCACTCAGTGACTCAGTGACTGAGTCACTCACCACATAGAGACCCATAATCTCATCACACAGAGACCCATAGACTCACCACACAGAGACCCACAAACTCACCACACAGAGACCCACAGACTCACCACACAGAGACCCATAGACTCACCACACAGGAACCCACAGACTCACCACACAGAGACCCATAGACTCACCACTCAGAGACCCATAGACTCACCACACAGAGACCCATAGACTCACTCACACAGAGACCGACAGACTCACCACACAGAGACCCATAGACTCACCACACAGAGACCCACAGACTCACCACACAGAGACCCACAGACTCACCACACAGAGACCCATAGACTCACCACACAGAGACCCACAAACTCACCACACAGAGACCCATAGACTCACCACACAGAGACCCATAGACTCACCACACAGAGACCCATAGACTCACCACTCAGAGACCCATAGACTCACCACACAGAGACCCATAGACTCACCACACAGAGACCCATAGACTCATCACACAGAGACCCACAGACTCATCACACAGAGACCCATAGACTCACCACTCAGAGACCCATAGACTCACCACACAGAGACCCATAGACTCACCACACAGAGATCCATAGACTCATCACATAGAGATCCATAGACTCATCACACAGAGACCCATAGACTCACCACACAGAGACCCATAGACTCACCACACAGAGACCCATAGACTCACCACATAGAGACCCACAGACTCACCACACAGAGACCCATAAATTCATCACAGAGAGACCCATAGACTCACCATACAGAGACCCATTGACTCACCACACAGAGACCCACAGACTCACCACACAGAGACCCATAGACTCACCACACAGAGACCCATAGACTCACCACACAGGGACCCACAGACTCACCACACAGAGACCCATAGACTCACCACACACTGACCCACAGACTCACCACACAGAGACCCATAGACTCACCACACAGAGACCCATAGACTCACCACACACTGACCCACAGACTCACCACACAGAGACCCATAGACTCACCACACAGAGACCCATAGACTCACCACACAGTGACCCATAGACTCACCACACAGAGACCCATAGACTCACCACACAGAGACCCATAGACTCACCACACAGAGACCCATTGACCCACCACACAGAGAGCCATAGACTCACCACACAGAGACCCACAGACTCACCACACAGAGACGCATAGACACCACACAGAGACCCATAGACTCACCATACAGAAACCCATAGACTCACCACACAGAGACCCATAGACTCACCACACAGAGACCCATAGACTCACCACACAGAGACCCATTGACTCACCACACAGAGACCCATAGACTCACCACACAGAGACCCATAGACTCACCACACAGAGACCCATAGACTCACCACACAGTGACCCATAGACTCACCACACAGAGACCCACAGACTCACCACACAGAGACCCACAGACTCACCACACAGAGACGCATAGACTCACCACACAGAGACCCATAGACTCACCATACAGAAACCCATAGACTCACCACACAGAGACCCATAGACTCACCACACAGAGACCCATAGACTCACCACACAGAGACCCATTGACTCACCACACAGAGACCCACAGACTCACCACACAGAGACCCACAGACTCACCACACAGAGACCCATAGACTCACCACAAAGAGACCCATAGACTCACCATACAGAAACCCATAGACTCACCACACAGAGACCCATAGACTCACCACACAGAGACCCATAGACTCACCACACAGAGACCCATAGACTCATGACACAGAGACCCATGACTCACCATACAGATACCCATTGACTCACCACACAGAGACCCATAGACTCACCACACAGAGACCCACAGACTCACCACACAGAGACCCATAGACTCACCACACAGAGACCCATAGGCTCACCACACAGAGACCCATAGACTCACCACACAGAGACCCATAGACTCACCACACAGAGACCCATAGACTCACCACACAGATCCATAGAAATGATGATGGTATTAGTGGTGATGGTGATGGCGTTAATGATGTTAGTGATGATGACGGTTAGCAATGATGATAATGATGATGTTAATGGTGATGATGTTAGTGATGATGATGTTAGTGATGGCGTTCGTGAAAATAGTGATGATGATAGTGATGTTAGTGATGTTAGTGGTGATGTTAATGAAGATGCTATTAGTGATGATGATAGTGATGTTAGTGGTGATGTTAATGAAGATGCTATTAGTGATGTTGATGATAGTGATGATGTTAATACTAATGATGATGTTAGAGATGATGATGGTGATGATGTTAATACTAATGATGATGTTAGAGATGATGATGGTGATGATGCTAATGAAGATGCTATTAGTGATGATGATGTTGGAAATAGTGATAGTGATGATGATGCTAGTGATGATGTTAATGATGATAGTGATAATGTTAATACTAATAATGATTTTGATTTAAAGCTTTCGTGACTGCAGTAATTCATATTCTTAGTTTTTTCGGTAAAGTCACGTTGAAGAGAAACAACAAAATAACAAAATATATATAAAACACCTGATGATGACCGTTTGAGTTATGGTCGAAACGTCGTGAGAATTTTTTATTGTTTTATATATATTTTGTTATTTTGTTGTTTCTCTTCAACGTGACTTTACCGAAAAAACTAAGAATACTAATAATGATGTTAGAGATGATGATGATAGTGATGATGTTAATACTAATGATGATGTTAGAGATGATGATGGTGATGATGATAGTGATAATGTTAATACTAATGATGATGTTAGAGATGATAATGATTATGATAGTGATGATGTTAATACTAATGATGTTAGAGGAGATGACGGTGATGATGATGAAGATGCTATTAGTGATGATGATAGTGATGATGTTAATACTAATGATGATGTTAGAGATTATAATGGTGCTGCTGATGATGATGATAGTGATGATGTTAATACTAATGATGATGTTAGAGATGATGATGGTGATGATGATGTTAATGAAGATGCTATTAGTGATGATGATGGTTATGATGTTAAGACTAATGATGATGATAACGGTATTAATATTATTATTGGGGTAAACCATCAATCTCCACGGACCACTAAAAAATTGTTTTTATTTTAAAAACCCCACTCCAATGACGAACACGCCCACCCATCGCGGCCTAGTTACCCTGCCTGACAAAGTGCACCTCCACTGGGCAGAAATATCTAGGCGAGGCCGGTGTGATGGGGGCGGGGGTGTGGTTGACGCATTAGACTTGCCCGATGATGACTACACTACACTATACACTACACTATACACTACACTATACACTATACACTACACTATACACTACACTATACACTACACACGACACTATACACTACACTATACACTACACACTACACTATACACTATACTATACACTATACCATACACTATACTATACACGACACTACACACTATACTATACACTATACACTACACTATACTATACATTACACTACACTATACACTACACTATACTATACACTACACACTACACTATACACTACACTATACACTACACTATACACTACACTATACACTACACTATACACTACACTATACTATACATTACACTACACTATACACTACACTACACTATACACTACACACTATACACTACACACTATACACTACACTATACTATACATTACACTACACTATACACTACACTATACACTACATTATACACTACACTATACACACGACACTATACACTACACTATACACTACACTATACACGACACTACACTTTACACTACACTATACACTACACTATACACTATACTATACACTACACTATACACTACACTATACACGACACTACACTTTACACTACACTATACACTACACTATACACTACACTATACACTACACTAAACTTTACACTATACACTACACTATACACTACACTATACACTACACTATACACTATACTATACACTACACTATACACTATA